TAAAAATTTCAACCCTTTTGCATTGAAACTGAAATCCTTTGTGGGGAACAAACCTGAGCAATAAATATACTTCTCAATTGCAATGTAAGAACCTATAATCATCCCAATCGACTGGTGATTTACTTGTTGAATGTCTGTTTTAGCCATTAGGGAGAGGTTCAACAAGAAAAGGAATGAACAAACAAATGGATGAATCAATGAATGAATAAACAAATAGGTTCACTGTTGCATTAGCTGGGGAACAGAGCTCTCAGTGTGGCAGAGATACAAAGGGTTCCCCTCAGGTGGTCCGTACACTTTATATTAGACATTAATATAACCTCTTCTCAGAAGCTCCATGAAATGGCTTTCTGATCCCCTACAGGACAGCTCATTCAGAGGCAAAGTGAACTTCTTATGAGTTGCACATCATGTAAAATTTCAGTCAAATCTACAGCCCAAATGACATTTGACCTAAATAGTTCCTAAAGTTTTAAGAATCTAAGTAAGGTTACAGATTTTTATCTATTACTTGAGTCTTAAAGTGCAGATAACCTCCGTGCTATCTCTGAATATCTTATAGACACATTCTTTGCACAAAATCAAAAAAGAAAGTAGCAATATATGCCACTCCTTCCTATATAGGTATTCATGTAGGATGTATGTGTTCATCATATCTTATAAATGTTATTAAAACTTTTGTAGGAAAATAACAACAGGAAAGTTATACTTTCATAGAGAGGAGGTTGCCTTGGTCCTTATCCACCTTTATCCCAATATTTACTTACCTGCATTTAATAACGTTTCAATATTTATTGGCTTTGAATGTGATTTTACAACTGACGTTAGGAGGGGACTGTGGAACAGACTTCAGACCCTCTTTGGGAGACCTACACTCTATTCTCCAAAAAGAACACCTAGAAGGAGAAGCTGTAGTGTCCCTAAGCTCCCTGATGAAAGTCCCTGCTTACACCACTCCATTCAACAGAGGATGGCTGCAGTCATCCTGAGGGCACTCACCAGGGTGACAATGGCACATTCAGCAGTCAGTTGAGCAGCACTGAACAGTGTCCGAACAAACCGGTAAATCTGCTTCTGCTCTGGGTTGTGTTTGTCATAATCTGGTGGCACTTCGGATTTCTGGTGAAGAAAATATTTTCAGATGACAGGCCACCCAAAAAGAGCAAAAGAGAAAGAATTAAACAATATCATGAAACACAAGGAGGAGATTACCGAAAGAGGGTGAAGGTTTTCATCAAAAATATCTAAGAGCATCCTTCCATCTGGGTCCCTGGTGGAAAAAAATAACAGAAAATGGAATTTACTTTCTGCAAGAATGTTTGTCATTCAAAATAAAACAAAAATATATTTTGATTCAACTGTTATTTCAAAAAAGAGAAGGCAGTGTTAAATGTAAGAGATGGTACGAGTTATTCATGAATAATACTGCTTTACTTGGGTACAGTATAATTTTTGAATAGTCTATGAAATAAAGGTTATAAATTAAGTGAAAATACAGATTTTCATTTTCTGAGTTTCAAATAAACCAAATCTAATTTTTTAACATCTTGTTTCTGAGCAAAGGCTAACAGATTTGCTTAAACTATTAGTGTGTTGTGATTAACAAGAAAAAGTCTGAGGGTAAAAATGAACATTCAATGTGTCGTAGAGATTAATCTGGAAGTTTTCACAACATGTAACTTAACACACTTCATTAATATTTTCACCCAGCCTGTTACCTGGTGGCTTTTCCTGTAATCATAGCGTCTCAGCAGGGGCTCTGCAGGGACTTCCCCAGCGACAGCTCTACTTTTATGTCATTTGAGTTTTGCCTTAAAATTTTTCTTTAAAAACCAAATTTGGAAACCACAGCTTTGGGTAACAGCTTATCATTTCCATAGTCTGTACTTCCAATGTCAAGTAGGCTTGTGAATATCAGAAGACTACAGACCTGTCCCTAACAAACACCAATTGGATAAATACAATTTCTGCTCTATGAATTTACTGTCTACATAAAAATAAAAGTGAAAGAAAAATCTTAACAGAGCAACTCAATTCACATTACTATGTTTGCACAAAAGGAATTGTTTTTAAAGCTTTGGGCATTCATATCTGTGCTCATTTTTACTTACCTGCAAGAACATAGGCAGCAAAGATTTAGATAAACCCAAGTAAAAGACAGGTTCAACCAGAGAGGACCTGATAGCAGGGTCTGAAAACATAAAGACAGCTCCTTCTGGTGCACTTGGTGACACTTGCAATGACCTGGCAATGAAGAATCAGCCAACCCCTCATCTCACTAACTGCCTCTGCAAAATAGTCAAGGTGCTGTGTGAGAGACAAAGCCTGGCCCAGCACCCCATTTCTTTGGACTGTTCAGCCCTGTTCAATTTTCCTGATGAATGAAAGTCCCTAAAAAATTAATGTAGGGAGGAGGCAAGAGGATTAAAATGTTAATCAAGCCACAATCAGAGACTAAAATATGCTGATCAGTTCTGTGGCCAGGCCAAGGAGGACACTTTCAAAACAGAGGAATATTTCTAATGGGATTGCTAGTAACCCATTCTCCACACCTGTGAAGGGGAAAGGGCACCAAGAATCATTCCCTATGGCTAAAACCATGGGGAAATGCAAAACTGGTTGGTTTGAGAACACATCTGAGTTCCATTAATGGCACTGCATTGTTATTTAAGACTTAAATGTTTAAAAAAGTTTGAACTACTATCACAGAAATAAGTAGCAAGACAAAACCTGTACTTTGATGTTATTCTGGTCAAGGTTCAAAGGTCCAATAGCCTGCATTTTGTACATTTTTAAATCCAAAAATTCTCAAGCACCATAAAGAATCATGAGTCACATTTACAGTATGGAAAAAGGTAACTACAGAGAATACCTTTCCAGGTGTCCACAGCCAGATATTTGTGTTTTCCCATAAGACTTCAGTAAAAGCTTGATCATCTAACCTCCAACTTATCACAACTCTCCCTTGTCGCTTTGTAAAACAGATCTTACCTAGAGATCCATTCACACCATGAGGTGGCCATGCTTGTTCCCAGAAATGGGTCACATCAGTGTTAAACCTAACTGCAGTTTCAGATTTGCCCAGGAGTGGAATTTTAAACCAAAAGGTCTGGAATTTCCTGGTCAGCGCTAGTGAGGTAATCTGCCAGATAAAACCCTCTGCCTTCCTTTTAGGAAAAATGTCCTTGCCTGAAATAATCCATTCTTTTAACTTCCTACTCTCAACCCTCTTTCTGTCTATAAAACTTTCCATTTTGTACAACCCCTGGAGCACCCTTCTAGTAGCTAGAGAGGATGCTGCTCAATTCTTGGATTCAAGAATTGCTTAATAAAGCCAATTAGATATTCAAATTTACTTGTTATGAGATTCATAAACATATGTAAATGTCACATTACTCAATGAAATTAGACTGCAATGAGAATGGTTTTGTTCTTCTGAAAATGAAGAAAGGATGCTTTGGAAAGACTCAATATTAAGGGAATCACTAAAAAAAACGTTCATTGTAGCTTAGGAGTCATCAAAACCTAAAAGATTCTATGCTCAGATTGTTTTTGCAAGTGCCTTAAGTTTACTCAATACTGATTAAAAAAAAAACAAAACAAAAAAACAACCCACTATGGAAAGGATAATTTATAGGTGTGGCTTTTAAAAGAAAGACACTGGTACTCTAACCAATGCCCCATGCTCCAAAGTCTTGACTGAACCTGCATAAAAAAAACTGGCAAATGAATGTACTTTTACATATTTTATGTTGAAATAAAATGTTAACAGTAAACCTTTTTAATTATTTTTCTATGATTCCGTTTTAACTGATTTTTTAAATTAACTGAACTATCTTCAGACTCAAATCAGAGAGAGTTTCTACTACATTAATATAGTTTATATCTAAATTTACACCAAATATTTGCTCTACTAAATTGAAACCATAAACATTTTTTCATGTGAAAGTTGCATACGGTAAATTTTTTAAATAATATTTTATAAAAGATAGAATGTTTAAACAAATTATACAGAAAATAAAGAGTAAAGAGGATGCTGAACATTATCGAGTTCTGTTTTGTTTTGCTGGTTTCAAAAACAAACACTCATCTGATTTCCTCTGATTAGGAAGCAGTTCGGCACTTATCTGGGAAGTTTTGGTAAATTATATTAACTTTAGAAATTCTATAAAAATGTGAAGGCCAAAGCAACCAGAGCAAAATAGGAAAAAAAAAAACAAAAACAGGAAAAACATAATAGGAGATAACATGTGAAGGTTTTAGCACAAAATTAATCATACACATACCTGTTCTTGATGTGGTAGTATATTGCGAGAGCTACACTGTAAAATAAAATGCAGTTCAATGTTTCACAAGCATATTTAAAATGTTATATATTCTCTGACATCGGTCTCATCATAAATATTTAAATTTAAGTAAAAGTGAAATGATCCACCTGAACAGTCCTGTTAAATTCAGAATGCTGATCAAAAAAGTGCACTCTTTAAAGTAAACCAATCTGGTTCTCATTCCTAACAACTATTAAATCTTTTCCAGAAATATCAAAACTTCAAGTAATATTTACAAATTTATCTTCCTATCTGAAATTTTAAGGTTTCTTCACTTATACAATATAGGCTTTATGTAAAACAAACAAACAGAAAAACAGATGGTACAAATTAAACACCTTTAGAAATCTCTAACTCAGTACCTACTATTTTAGAAAATTAGTGGGTTCTTTATAACTACCAGAAAAATGTGAATACACTTATAGTGGTTTGATTTTTTTTCCCTTAAATCAATAACCTCTTGGCACTCTGCCTGATTTACTCATTTACTTGCTGAAATGGTACTGTAACTCTTATTTGTAACACTACTTAAAATTTTTATTTTACATTTTAAAAGGTCTTCATTTAATGAAGACACTCTCTACCCCTGAATTTTTTCAAATGTTTTTCTGATTATAGAATGCATTACATTCATAATGACAGAAATTTTGGAAAATACAGAAAGTATAAAGGAAAAAATCCTTTTGTCTAAAGATGACTAATATTAGCTTGAGATATATAGTTCTATATATTATGTGTGTATAAAAACAGATTTGTGTCCTACTTTTATCCTCACTAATATTTTTACCATTTAAATATTCTTTAAAAGCACAAATTTAAATGGTGATTTTCCACCATACAGTTGTTGGATAATTAACTATTCCCCTACTGTTGAACATGTTTCTAATACTTTGCAATTATAATTAACACCATAAATTCCTTAAAGATAAATATTTGTGCAATCTGTGACTACATTATTTCCATAAGAAAGCATCTTGTAATTGGAATTAAAGTCATTAATAACTGTAAAGCTCCCCACATAGACTGCCAAATATCTTTGCAAAAAAACCTTGAAACCTACCAGCATGTTTCACCTTACCCTTGCTGACACTCACCTTGAATGTTTTGATAAAATGTTCTCCAAGTGGATTAGTAAAAAGTGTACCTGTTTTCTTATTTGTTTGTTTGGTTTGTTTGTTTGATGGTGACATTGGCTAATGAAATCCAGTCAAGTTTCAGCTGTACACTTTAACAGTAAGGCATACATACACTTACACTGCGTGTTCACCTTCCATAGTTAGGTTTCTGTCACCACAAATTTGACCCCTTTACCCCATCTACCATCCCCCTTTCCTCTGGTAACCACTAGTCTATTGTCCGTGTCCATAAGTCTCTGTTTGTTTGTCCTATTCATTTGTACCTGTTCTCAATTTGAGTTTCTTGGCTACCTATCAAGTTTGCAGGGTTATTCGTGTTGATTGTCCAATTTTTTTAATTTTCTCTTTTATAAACTGACTAGCTCCTTCTGTTATTTTTGTTTTACTTGAAAATTTATTGTGGAGGCCAAAATTCATTTTTTTCAGCTTCTAACAACATAGCTAAATGGCTGTATCAATAAGGGGCTGTGTTCTCAGTCTCAGAGCAAAGAAACTGCCAACCAGAGCACCAGTATGGAGATGGGAGGTCTAGGGCTCAGTCCTACACATTTCCCTCACTCAGTGGCACCCCACTAGAGACCTAGGTGTGCATTCTGGATTCCAAATAGCTCAGATGTTTACCTATTCCTTAACATGACAACAGCTAATCTCATTGCATCACAAGAAAATTTATATTCCTCCAAATCTCTCTCTTTCCAGATCTACTCATGCAAATGTATTCGGCTGTTAAAAGTATTCATGAACAAATGGTGATGTATTCTTTCTCTTAACACCTTGAAAAGAATCTAAGCTGATAAAGTAAGTATAATTGGGGTGAAAGAGCTTCAGAATTTTAAAACATAATAATATGGTTTTCAAAATGCTTTCGCATACATGATCAGGCCTACAATAGAAAATAGTAGGTGTTACTGATTCTATTTTATAAAAGAGAAAATACAGGTTCAGACAGTAGATGCCAGGACTTCTGACTCACATAATGGTGTTGTGCCCTTTCATTCTAGCATGTTGCCTCTGGAACAAATGAAGAAATTACTGTTTTATTCATTTAATAGTCATACTGTAAGGGCTGCTTTTCTAATCTAATGTTAGATTTAAAGCTGAATGTTTCATATGTTTGTGTTTGGTGTAGTGACTAGTTTAATCGCTTTAATTGATCAAGGGAAAAAAATGGTTCTTGCTTCAACCTGAGGGAGTGTGACACAGGAAAAGTATCATGGCCTGGAAGACAAACCAACCTTGGTTCAAACCTGGTTCTGACATTTATCAGAGTTCATTCAACTCTCAGAGCTTTCATTTCCTCATCTATAAAATTAGGAAATTCAACTTACATCATAGAGTTGTAATGATAACCAAATGAAATATGTAAAAGTGTTATCTCAAATATAAAGTTCTAAAACTAAAGTTATTATTACTGTTATTCCCCTACCAATAATTCTATTTCAAGAAGTCTCTGACTTCTGCAGATTGAGTGAAAATCTTCAGGGGCCCAAGGTCACTACTTCTGAAATCTCCAGAGCCAAAAGCAAGATTGGGCATTTTCATGGCCTCAGACCTCCAAGAAAAACAGAGCCGCGCTGTAGGACAATTTCCACTGAAGCTCATATGCCAGAAAGTGAGAAAACCAAGCTGAGGATCTGTGTACAGTCCAGCTCCACAGGCCTGATTAATTGGTCATCTTGAAAGAAGTGATTACTGGGGGCAAAGGGCAGTAAATTGAAAACTGAATCAGTTCTTGGCTTCGGGTTTCATTCTAAATGCCCAGCTTGGAGGCCTGGTCAGTTTTGCCACATCCTCAGAGAGTGGTAAGTTCTCACCAACGATGGGCTAGGGCCAAACCATAAGGACATTTGGACCAAAGGGTTTGCTCAACTGCTTTTGCCATATAGCTGGGAAGGAAAAAAATGCTATTTTCTTGACCAGGAAAACAAAACAGATTTGTGATCACTGGCACTGTACTGGTCTTACTTCTTACCTAGAATTAAATCAGCTAAGCATATGATGATCCTAAGACCTCTGAAGATCAAGGGCTGGTGGGTCTGGCAGTGCTGAGGCACTGAACCATGAAGATACAGAGGCAGGTGGGTAAGTAGTGCTCTTTGACCCTCAGAGGCTGAAGGGCATGGATGATTGGCCACCTATGTGAATGGGGCTCCACACCACCACCATTTCTTCCTTTGATGATTATTCCTATGCTCCTTACAGGATTTGGGGAAGGGGTCAGTTGCAGAGGCATGGAGGTGGTTGGTAAATTCTAAATTCATACCTCAACTGTTGGCATTTAGGGGACAAATGGGAAAATCAAGTTCTCAAGGAAGAAATCAAGCCTATGAAAAGAATAAGCATAGAATACAGACCCAAACTTTTCACACTTAAGTCTTTCTTTCACTGTCAGAATAACACTGAACCCTCCACCCAACCTCTAACTAGAATTTGTAAATATGTTTGTTCATTTTGGCAATTCCCCAATTACAAAATGGTTTTCTTCTAAAAATCGGCTTAGAAATCAGTTGTTTAGAATTCGGAGCATTTTCTCAAAGAAACAAGGTCATACTTGGTTTTCAGGAAGCAAGTTCGGCCCATGAATGCTCACCATGCCCACAATGAAGCTCAACTACTGTTTCAGAGTGTGGAATCAATTTTAATGTCTGAGAAGAGAGGGCCAACGGTTTCCTTTGACAGGTGCAGAATAAGGTTTAGGCAACATTTTAGAACAGGAAGGCATTCAGACTTAGCATCTTCCTTGTATTTTCAGGGAAGGAGTGAGATGGAACCACTACCAGGAAGGTCCACTCTGCACGGCTCCCGGGTCCAACGGTACATGTTTAGAAACAGGGCACTTTTTGAAATAACTAAGCCACTGATCAAAAGAAGTTCAAATTTGGGTGGTGCAGAGAAAATGTCTTTTGGATCAGGGATGCCACAGTATCCACAATGAATGTTTTGTCTCAACAGCTATCTTAACCAGTCCAGGTTTTCAGTTTCTTTTCCCTCCATATATTAACCTACAGTTTATTTAAAACTTTGTATTTAAAACTTTCAAGGAGACTTTGATGAGGAGGGGAGAGCAGCTGTCCATCTATATCAGGGGTCTTCAATCTTGGCTGCCTATTAGACAATTTCTTAAGAGTGGTTTAAAAATCCAGATACTGGCTCTGTAGCGGGAGACTCAAACATTAGTGTGTTTTTAAGCTCCCAGGTGACTTCAGGTGCAGCTGGGCTGGAATCACTGATTTATGCAGATGCCTAACTATAACTTAGGTGCTTGTACCTCCCCGACTTGACACTGAAATGTCAAATCGTCACCCAGTTTTCCCCAGCTCCTGAGTGTCCATGTCATAACCAGTGGCAATTTTAAGTCATCCAAGGGTGAAGTGCTGAGCAACTGAGTCAGATCCACTTGTAAATCCCAAAAGCTCCCACTGGCCCTGAAGGGAGAGGTGCCCTCTGTGCCACTCTGCCATGCTCCCTGTGAAGAGGATCCCAGGATTAAAGGGGAGTTAGCAGCTTTCACTCTCGGCTCCCCAGAGCTTGAGCAGATGCCAACAGCTATGTGGCGCACAGATCTTCGGGGCTTTCCACTTCTCTCCTCAACTGCTAAAGCTTTACTTCAGAAAATGCTGTGCTTCCCATTTCCCAGCAGTAAACCTCAGCCCAAGGGCAGGAAGGCCTTCATCCAAGGCCATCTGTTGTGAAGCTATGATATACACCCCTCTCCCTCATCTGTAATAGATGACTGTTTGGGTTTCTGCACACTAGTGATTTACCATGCCTTTAAACACCAAGGTACTATGGGAAGAAGCCACATTTCCATCTAAAACCTAGAAATATGTAACCCCACAAGAGAGAAGGCAACTTCCCTTCAAGTGGTCCTACTTCCATCTTCCTTTTGAAGTAGACTATTTCCACAGACCACAGGGACAGTCACCACTTCCTGAGCCAGAGACTGATTGTCACATGTGGTCACATTCAGAACAGAGCTTCCAAGCCTGAAAACCCAGTCCATTGCAATACAAGAATAGCTCCTATTTAGAAATGTAAAGAATTATTTCAAATGCTAACATGAACTGTTGTTAAATGTGTACTTTCTTAAACAAGTATAGAGATAAAATATCCCAGATTTTTCAGTTGAGCTGAATACCACAGACCCCAGCTCACCAGGTTCTCTTGATCTCTGTTATCACAAAGCAAGGAGGGACATTACAGGAGAAACCAGTGTTCCTTCCTTCTTCGCTCCTATTTTAAAATTAAAAAACTGAAGCCCAAAAGGAAAGGATTTTATCCCAAGACACCCTTCCTCCATTAAACACCATTTGAAAATAAGAACCCAAAGAAGGGTTTTATCAAACCCTCCCTGTTGGTGAAAGCCAAGGTCAGAACTTAGATTTCTCCACTCTGGGCAAGGACGCTTTCACTATGTCAGGCCTGCATACTACTGTCGCCCTGAATCTTAAACTGAGAACCCATTTTTTTAATTTTGAAGGTAAAATATTAGCAGAGTAATATCAGGGTGGCTTTAATAAAAAGTGGGAAGGTAGAAAGTATGTACAAATCGAAAATATGCTTTAATCTAGTTAAAATAATTTTAAAATTTGGTCTTTTTATGTAACTGGTAATATGGACAAATATTTTGAACACCCCACATTTTAACTACCAAAATCACTTTTTAAAAGATTTTTCACAGTCAATGGCCTCCCCTCACCCAAGCTTAACATTCCAAGACCACACAACCAACCAGTTAGCCATTAGATTAAGGAATAGAAAAAGCATTCAGTTAAGCAAAAATCTGTATACCCACCATTTAATTGTATACTTGAGGTTTGGTTGACTGACTGTGCTATCATCTAGGAAAATAGTGGAGCAGGAGCTGTATTTCCTTGCTATTTGTCCTGGAGGATGCTAGAAAACAATGGCAACAAGAAAATGACAATTAAACATGGCTCAAAATTCTTCCAAAGAATTAAACTTGAGACCAGACCACAGAAGAAAAATGTCTTAGCAAGAAATGCAAAAATGACCAGCAAAAAATGTGCAAACACACTTTCTTCATATAATGAAATTCCTTGTTCTTACACATATAAAAGTCACTACCACTGCTCCTAGTCCCAAACCTCCTTCATCAGAAGAACAGTGCATTCTTGCAATTAAACATCAAAGAGTGTGGTGCAGAGTCCGTAAAAACCACCTGCCCTGGGGCCTGTGTGAAACAAGAAGTACACTGCTCATTACATCAATGAAAGCTCCTAATTAGGGCAGTGTCCTGGTTTTATGAACCAAGATCAAGACAAAAGTCCACTGTACTCATTTTCTCTATTCTTGAGGTACAGAGTATTTGGGGGGCAAGAGAAAATGCAGCCGATATTAATTTAGAATCCCCTGGTTAATCTGCTTGAACTTGAAGAGTTGAGGTTATAAAGAAAAAAGTATTTCTTTGTTAGGTCGAAACACATTTTAAAGGGAAGATTATCTGATACTTTAGAAAATACTACCAATAGATGACCTTCAGGAAATGTGCCTGTGTAGTCTTATGACTGGTTCTCTGACAACTGTGCAAATTTTGAGCTCTTTGAAGAATTTGAGAACTGAGAACTACTTCTGAAAGACATCGATAAAGAAAATAGAATTTATACACTGATGACATCCAATTCAATACTAAGTGGACTTTTGGAAACTATATTGGCAAAAAGGATTAGAAAACATCAATCTGGATAATTATTGCTCAAAAGCAATAATTATCCAGTAAGGAAAAAAAATCAAATCATGCAAATGAGTTTCTACCTGCCTCATGCTATGTTAACAGTCTAAGTGTCATTTCAGCAACCAAAAAACTCTTTAGGGATAATTAAATTGCCAACTTCACCTTCCCACCTCCAACAAGCACTCAGTATCCATAGTTTAACGAATGTAAAGGAAACCTTAAAGCTAATCAGAGACCAAATGCCCTGTTCGATACTTTAATATTTCCTTCTTATTTAATAAGGTTTCTTCTGTAATGAAATTAAGAAAATATGCAACAGCCTGAGAAATATAAAAACGATGTTATAAACATAATCTCCCCTCAAAACTAAACAATAAATGACAAGTCACTATTTAAAATGCATATCCAGTTCCTTAAGTCACAGCTAGAGGGCACTGCACCACTGACATATGACTCTCTTGAACCTGGTTTTATATAAATAGCATGTGGGCTAAATCAGAAAATTCAAAAGATAAGGTTCGTTCATGGGCTTTCCTTCTTAAGCACACACTGTTCTGTGCCTGTGTAAGGAAAGGCACGAAGAAAGCTTGTGAAGTTCAAGTTACAACTTGAATGGCAATTTTAACATGGAATTTTCACAAATTAATCACAATTTCTCATTTAAGACAATCCTAGGGCATTAAAAACAATTCTCTCTCTCTTTTAAAGCTCTTGTAACAATCACATTTAAATCACATAAAACACACTAAAAACTCAGAATCTAATAACAGCTATTAATATGGGTGGCAAGTTTCAAAAATCCTTACGAAATTTTCCCCACCTGTGCAAAATCTACTTCAAATAAAACCTCAACAGATGTTTAACATAAAAATTCAGTAATTAACTGATGTGTTAATGAATTTTTAGAAATAACTTTGGGAATAATCCCAACAATGAAACAAAAAGACAATAATTCATTTCTATTTCTTGTAGGGTTTCAACTATTTCCTCTGGCACAAATTTCTCCGAGATTAAAAAGTGATGAGAGTTGAGTAGAGATGAGTGATGCACTCAGGTGAGCATACTCTACATTCCTCCACAACTTAAGAAACTACCCTCCTGAACTAATGCGCAGGAACACCCCTCAGCACACACCGTGGCCTCAGATCGCCCAGCTGTAGCCTGAGCCTCCAGCACTAAGGGCTGGTATGTCAGAGGATGCCAATTCAACTTTCAAACTATCTAATAATTTCTAAATTGAATAAAAATCCTAAACATTAAGTAATAAATATTTTTAGTTTCTGGGTGTCTCATCACTCCAAAATGCCATTTGGGCATTAAGTCATTTGTTGAATGTCAAGACTGCAAGGTATTAGAATGAAACTTCTCTTGATCTGAAATCCATATCACTAAAAACTCACAAACATCTAGCAACATGCATTTAATAGACAAGTCAAAGGAAGTCAGAGAAATAATGTTCCCAAGGTCAAATTCAAGACACCAGAGCTGAAAGCCACATTTGTCTGACACCAAAGTCCATGTCTTTCTACCTCCAGTTCTTCGCTTGTGCCATGTTCTCCCAGATTTTTTCATACGACACCCAAAGGCCCTTTTCCTTCCCTGACCCCACTCGTTCTCAGAACCTTGCCAACAGCCCTTGCTCAGAACTCCTTCCTCCCATTAGACCCATCTGGGCTGAGTGTCGTCCTATGTGCTCTTATGCTCCTCTGTGCGCCCTCCATGGCACTGACCAATCTCCGTTGTCGTTTTCAGCTCACTCCTCTCTATTCTCTCTAGGGTCTAGACTCTTAGGTGTTCTGGAGGTAGACTGGATAATTTTCTTGAATCAGCAAAAGAGAAACAGCTCCATCCCAGGGATCAGACTGCCTTGTTGGCTCAAAGCAGAGCCACCAGGCAGGAAGCTAGCCTCCATGATGGCAGCTGAGTCTTCTGTGAGCTGATCACGACAGTGCAGCCTCAGCAGAAAGGAGGGTGCCACGTGTCAATAAGCTGGCAAACAGGACCTTACTGCAAGGGTCCATGCCACCGGGCAGTGAAATGCTGACATATTTAGGACACGCTGCAGTGGGGCAGTGGCTAGCTCTCCCATGGCACTGCCAGGAATTAGCTGACGTGGACGACATATTCCAGTACGAGATGGGCAAGAGCATGGACGGAGTCAAAAGCCTAGATTCAGGATGTAGCTCTGCCACTGATTAGCTGTGTGAACTTAGGCAAGTTACTTAAGAAGTATGATCGCACATCTTGACTTGCTTGGAACAGTCCTTGTTTGCCCACATTGTCCTGGAGTAACCAATAATACAACCCCCTTTCACACTCAATAGTGTCCTGATTTTGACAATAAATTATAAAGTCACCTTTGCTTTACCTCCTCAAGATTCAATATCTTCGTCTGTAAAATACAGAAAGCAGAGCCTACTCCCCACTGTGGTGCTGTGAGAACTACGTGGGATAACACCTGGGATGCTGCACACAGATGTGTTCAATAAGCATTAAGTCACTTTAACTTCTCATTTTCAACCATTGTGCAAAACTGTCCTACCACTTCTTAGGGTTTGTTAAGATCAAAAGAAATAAAGCATTAAAAGTTATGAGGTAATAATACTAGAGAAAAAGAAGTTGTTAACATTTGTAAAAAAAAAAAAAAATTACATAAATGAAATCTCTAAAAATGAACACTGAATAATTTTTTTAAAATCCTAAGTCTGAAAAGAGTAAAGTATGACTGATAGAAAGGTGAGACTGTATGTGCAGAGAGACTGAAATCTGCACTAGCATTCCTTCATTAAGAATTAACTGGGGGGGTGGCTCCATAGTGTAGTGGTTAGCACGTCTGCTTTACAAGCAGAAGATCCTGGATTAGTGCCCCAGTTGGAGCCACGGACCATACTCCGGGGTGCCAGCGCCCCCGGGTGCGCCAGGCCCAGGTGCACGCTGTGAGCGTGTGGGAGGAGATGCCCCATCTTAAGAGATCCAGTTCTTAAGGGGAAACAGCAACATCCATAGGTCAGGGGGTGGAAGTTGGCGGAGGGGGGGTGAATTAAAGAGGGGGAATAAACAAAACAAAACAAAACAAAAAAGTGTATTAAGAATTAACTGAAGCTTTGATGTGTGCAAAACATGCAAGGAACAGAGCACAGGAAAGTAGAAAAAGAGACTGGGGTGCCCAATGCCACCACCTGCACCTCACTGTGCTCAGCCTCACAAAACCATGAGGTGGATGGGATATTTCATTTTATAAACAAGGAAACTGATTAAGAAAGAATCTTTACCCAAGCCACACAGCTAATACGGAGTGGACACAAGGACACTCTGTAGAATTCCTCTGTGCAAAGCCAGAGCATGCACAGTTGGGAGGACACACAAACAGATGGTGCTGGGGCTAGGAGAGAGGACAGCTCCACCACCATCTTTCCAATGCCCACCACAAGCCTCAAAACAAAGATAAAAAGAACGAAACAAAAGAAAAAACAATCTTCTTTGACCACAAGATGTTAAATGAATATTCCACGAAAAGAAAAAGCAAGATGGAACACCTTTTAGTAGGATCAGTTTCTTACGGCAGGGACAGAAGAAAGGATAGAAAAAGCAAAGAGCCACGGAATTAACAACAAAAATGGACAAAATCATTATTCTATGAAAGCAGAAAAATAAATCAACATTGGGTCTCAAGAACAAACACTAGAAATGCCAATTCTGAGGTAAAATTTTGCTCTACTGTGAGTCATGCATGTTGTCACTATAAAATAATTACATTCATAATTTATTTCAATCCCAGGTCAAATCTTGGCTTCATTATAGCTCTGTGCACTGACTCTGTAATGAGGAGTACTTTTTCTCATTATAGTTCTGGCTGTGAGGCAAGATCCAGAAATACAACCCTTTAGGACCGACATCATCCAAGGGAGAGAGGTTTTCCTGATGGCCCAACAGGTGCTGAGCAGAGCCACGGTGGGCCTCCCACTCCCACAGGCAGCTTCTCCCACGTGGCAGCCAACAGAGAGTTTATTGCTGCCTGAGTTCTTTCCGTAGCTCTAAAAGAAAGAGGCTCATTTCCAAAATAACATTTTTCCTACTATTACTTCCTTCCTTGAATGCAATGGTCATATATATTCCATGCTCTAGTTCCAGGGGGATGGGAGTGGGAGGGGGGGGGCGGGTAAAGTCAGGTAACGAGCTTATTCTAGAATGCTGGGGGAAG